ACTTCTCTACCAGAACCCCTGCAGAAAATAATTGCAAATGCCGGGACTGGACGTGGACTTGCTATGATTGTGCATTCCAGGTGACTCGTTAATGCTGACGTAAGATTGAAGCCCTTGAAGCCTATATATACTCCATACTCCGCCACATATTTTGCCAAAGAACACCTTCGCAAAAATAAATATATCTTGTAGGCTCATGATACCTTGCAAAGAACCCTGCGTCAGCCACAATACTCCTGAGGAATCAAATGAGCCACTTTCCTGTCAACGACACCACCTTTTCGCTGTAGCTTTGCGCTGTTCTAGGACTGAACCCATAAGCGAGAGGGGGTGGGATTGATTTGTTGCGCCGCCTGTTCCCACTCGTCCACAGTAGCGCCTCATTTCCTTGACCATCTACTAATCTCTGGCGCCTTTCAATTCCAGATTGCGTCGAATCCTGGGGTTCTGGATTATTGCTCGTTATTTCGATCTTACAACAATATCCTTGACGTTGTTCCACTGTGATAACTGCTGTTTAACTCCGTGGAACACTGCACTCCAAAAGTTTTTACTCTACAAGAAGACGGGCTTGGGCAAAAGGCGAAACCTCAGGCAGTACTTGAATCCTCTCATCACGCTTTCTGTTACGACACCGGTCCAGTTCTCTCCCTCTCAGTTCAATGAATTAGTTCAATAACCATACCCTTTTTGACTGGGGAAGAAACTCGGTCGTCTTTGCTGCTGTGAGTTTTCTGCTGCGTTTCCCCAACCGTAACTGCCCGTAACTTTCATAAAACGAGCTTGGAATGTTCTATTTAACCTCGACCTGTTAGCTCTTACACAGTTGCTGAAGCTCATCAGTCATCGACTTTTTTTCTAGGAGACACTACTCTGCAGTTCCATCATCTGCAAAAATGTCTAATTCTCCAAATATTCTTGGAGGACGGATGAGATTGAACGACGGTAATGAAATGCCGATGATTGGTTTGGGTATTTCGCGTATAAATGGCCAGGTATATGAAATTTATTGCTAGTGCTTTTGCCAATCTATGCTGAACCGCTGATCGTCCAAACCAAATCTTAGTTACAAGTCACTTCAGCAGAGCATCAGTAATTCTGTCCGAACAGCACTGGAAGCCGGATATAGACTCTTCGATACCGCACAGTTATATGCAAATGAAGGTGAATTAGGAGTAGCTCTGGAGGTACGCTCTGATCCTTTTATACTTAAAATTTACTATTTATTTATGCTGTTCTAAATATGCTTAGGGCTGCGTTCATACTTTGCGTCACCGTAAGCCAGCAGATGGCAGCGTTTCGAGCGTAAGCTGGCGACTAGAAAAGTATGGACATCGATCTAACGTATGCCAACTTACGCCAGCGTGCAGCAGATTTCGAGAGGCAAATATAGGTACCGATCTAGCGTATGCCAGCGTCCACCAGCTACAACCGCACCGTACATCTGAACTACATCGTGCATCAAGATAGCATAATTCTGTGCTTTTGCCGTTGTATGGTTCGGCTGCACATACCGCAGTTTACGACGCGTAATAAAGCAGTGTGCTACAATCCATCTTTCCTATACTCTCCTTTCCTTGAAGACCTGGCATACGCTGGCGTACGCTAAATCAATGTCTATACTTTCCTATCCACTCGAAGGGCTGTGTTGGCGGTTGGCGTACGCTGGATCGATACTTATAGGTCGCTGGCGTGCGCCCTAACGCTCAAAACGCTGTTGTAAGCTGACGCAAAGTCTGAGCGCCGGCAGCGTGTCGCTGATTACTGACAGATGCGGTTGCGCAACCCTTCATTGGAAAAGTTTTTTACTTTCACCGAACGTAGTCGATTTTGGATATTAATTGTTTTGCTCCTTGATATCAAGCTCTACTGCGATCTCATGGACAGGGTACAGCATCGTTGTGCGAAACCCATAGGGGGGTCGTACTTGGCCGCTGGGGAGGGGGGGGGTCGTAATCTCAAGGGTCACTCAGAGCCGAGCAATGCTTCGACATTTCAGTTGATAATGGGAGTGGAGCTATGGAAGTCAAGATGTTTGAAAAAATGAAGTTTATTATGAGTGTATTCTTTACAGCTTTAAATGCTACGTTTAACAGCCCTCTTTTCATGGGAAATCCCCAAGAATGGGTTCGTACTTGGCCGCGGGGGACGTGGGAGTATCGCAAAAGTAGGCTCGCTAGGCATCAAACAACCAGTACAAATCGCGTTGTCATTGGCTAATAGGCACATGGAACGCACGCTAAAAGCTTCAGAAACCCTGGATGTAATTAGAATACAAAATAAAAAAAGATTTATTAGCAATATAGCAAGAATAAATAAATAAATAAATAAATAAGTGTCAGTTTATAGCATGAACTCGTAAGTACGTAGGCAGGCACTAACATAATACGCCCCCCCCCTCTCAAACAGATTCGTGCGTCTTGTCCTTTACAAGCCCTAAACAAACATCTGCTTGCATGGATAAAAGCACGTGAAATTAGAATTTACACCTTTCCACCACCTCTCCGTAGGAGCCTAATGCACGGCGCACGGACCAAACCGATTAGTGATAGCCGAGCTCCTCTTCCACTCATTTGAAGGGAAATATGTATTTTGGAGGCACACTGAAAGGTGTATCCTCACAATGGCACATAAGGAGTCAATTTTTCGGGTGGTCCAGGGGGTAGCGCAAGGGTAACCCATCTAAAATATCTCCTGAACTAGTGGGTCTTCAGAAAAACCGTGAAGCTTGTTGGAAAGAGAAAGGATGGAGGGGTTTCAGGACGTTTTTAATCCTGATGAAATTGCGTTTGAACGAAGCAATCCTCGCGGTGAAAGCATGGCAAACAGCTCCGGAATTTACCCCCTGCTAACCGATGACCAGTCGAATATTTCACCAACGGGGGATTGTTCAGTTTGCAGCTAGGTAGAATACACAATAGTAGAACTTTGCCGTTGCATGCTGCTCACCATTTCTTAAAAGCTTCCGCATCCTAAAAAGATATGATACAACCGCCGAACAGAACCCCAGGACTGGCGGCAAGTCCGACAATCGCTCCAATGACGTTTTTTCCAAAGAAAAGCGTCGCCAGGCCTTGCGCCCTGCCAGCCTGATCGTAATAGCAAGTATGGACACGATTTAACTGCCGGCCTGGTTTCCTTTTTTCATTTAGCTCTGCATTTTTTGTATTTTCCATGTTTCGCTTTGTTGTGTCGTGCATGTTTTCATTATTTCCCCGTCACCATTCATTGAATGCACATCTGGGCCCTGACACGCTCACCTTAGGGCTATTTTTTTCACCAATTCAGCCTATCAATGATCACCATTAGACCGCTATTTCAAATTGTGTTTCTTTTTACAAGTTGCATGTCATACATAGTTATCGAACGAGGAGTTTTATTTGAATTAAGACAAAAATTGTAGGTAATGCGAGGCTGTTGTTCAGCCTCATATTGCATGAGGCTGAAACAGCCTTTTATTTCCTGTATTTTAGAGCAGAGTGCGCCTTTCGAGAATCCAGATTCCATTTCAGGAAGTCATTTGTGGTGAACATGCATCTGGTTGTCAGTTAGAGCAGGAGGGGGGGGGGGTCGTGTCTGGACCCTCTTCGAGGGGGGGGGGGTCGTACCCACACCGCCATTTGACACATCCCCATGCTGTACCCTGCTTATGGGTCCGCTGAATGTAGTAAATAACACGGCTTATGGCTTTTCCTGAGTGAGTACCACTGTTCTAGGAGGCAACCCAGGTCACTAAAGCGATGCTAAGCACCCGAAATGGAAAAGGGAATTTTAACTACTCTCCTCGTCCCTTGAGACTCTTGAGTTTTGCTCGCCATAAAACTTTTTGTAAGCCTGTTCTTATAACAGAGTGAAAGCTCTTCTTTTCGCTCAAAGTTTATTGACAACGTTTCAGGCCTAAGCTCTTCTTCAGGTCACTGAATTACAAAAACAAGTAAGATCTTGATAACTGCTTGGTTTTGAAACTCCCCAATTTTGTTTTGTAGGAGTATTTGCCGAAGTATGGGCTGCAACGAGAGGATGTTTTCATAACAACAAAAGTACAAACAAAGGATGGAGATGCTACGATGTGGGCTGAAGAAAGTGTTTTGGGGTCGCTGAAAAAACTCAGGACTAAGTAAGTTGTACTGAACATTCCAAAGGGAGAAGGTGTATTGGCATTTACTTCTTGCGTCCCAATTGATTGGCAAGAATATTAACGAGCCTTGTTTGCTGTGGGAGTGTGTCAGTGAGGTTGCGTTTGGTGCGCCACCGGCCCGTTTTCCACCACATGTTGAAACGGTAAGGGACAATAGTTGGTGGAAGCGACTGATGCGAACGATGTGGTACAATCTTGTCGCTTTCCGAGAGAAAAGAAGAAAGAAGCGGGTAGCGGGTGCCGCGTAACCCATCCCCTCTGACACGCCTCATCATGCGCAGCGAGAGAGACTGTACCATTGAATGACTAGAGAGAGCATGGAGAGTACGGCTGCGGAGTTGTGGGTGGAATTATATACCCTGTTTTGAGATACAAGGCGTTATTAGCAAGATTGCCGAGACGCGCGCAATAACGCATCGCGTGTTTCTTAAAAGGCAACTGCTCAAAATAAACGAAAAATTCGCAGAAAGAAAAGTAAGGAAACGGCGCCATTCTTTCGCACAGCTGCGGCTGCGTGCCATTGCGTACACTGCGGAGCTACAGTAACCTCACGCCTAGTTCCATTACTCGTTGGGGACGTAGCATCTTAATGAATTTTGGTGATTATGATTAAAGAGTGACATCTACGAGTATTTTTCAGTCCTAGACTCTTCCTGTGCAGTAGCCTCATGGGCGTTTTTGAGAAGGAAGCGGTATCATTAACCGAAAGGT